AGCCCTGCAAATTGCTGCCTTCCAGTCTTTATTGACAAACTCCTGTCCTTCCCTTCTTTTGCAGCCAAGCCCTCTTCATCTTTCAGGATCTGGTTCCTCCATATCATCCTTTCATGCCTGTGAAATTTTACAGAAATGTTATGTTATATTCTATTTGTGAGTGCTTGTGTAAATACCGTCAGATAGTTGACTTACTACACAGGCTTTGGTCTCATTTCACCCAAAATCTATGGTAAAATATTTCAGTCAAATACTATATCTCATCCCTTCTCAAGTCCCCCTCACTTCTGGGAACACTGGGAGTCCAATAACGTACTTGTTGATAAGTTTTCTTCATCTTCAGTTCATCACTTTGCAAGGAAAATGGAGCTGGTTTTGTGATTCCTATTTTACAAAGATTCCAAGTCCCAGAGCTCTCAAAAAACTTGCTCTTGTTAATGACAGTGCTAGGACAGGAGCTGTAATGTTTCCTCCTTGCCATTGCTCTTCCAGTTGCCCTGCTGCCATCCAAGAGGCCCTGATACAGTGATGCATTAAATCCTTCTTTATTTTTAGATGGGCTTGTAGATGCAGGCTCATATTTGTAGGGAGCAGCCTGGCAACAGATTATAATCAGGGCGTGTGGTTATGTGCCTGCTGGGCAATTTCAGTTCTTTCTGGGCGATTATGCCACATGTTCAGCCCACACCCACTTGTCCTTTCCAAAAACCACAAACTGGTGCTTTGGCAGATATGACATTCTTTCACACAGCCTGCTGATTAAATGACTGCACTGCCTGTTTCCTCCTTCAAACAGCTCTCGTTCTGCCTCTTGCCCTCCTAGCCTTCTAAAGGTGTTCTGGAGATGCTGGGGCTCATGGAGTGTGAGGAACAGTTAAAAAACATCTACCACTGGTTGTTTTAACCATAGTATTTAGGGAGTGACAGGAGCCTGGAGTATTTCTAGGTAGTTCCTCCTTCGGCCACAGGATGGATTCCTTTACCATCCGGTGTCTTTTGTGTCATTCATTTGCACAGAATGTTAGCATCAAATCCCTCTACCAGAGGGACTGGGGTGTTGTTCAGTGGTACTGTGTGTGCTTAGCTAACATAGCCAGCCTCTGGGTTCAATTCCCAGTTACCCCTGCGGCCCCCACCCCCCCCCAAAAAAAAAAAAAAGAAAAATAAATTTTTCCACCCATGCAATGCATTTATTCTCTGGTGTCTGGCTGGGGCCCTGAGGCATAAGGTTGCTTGACAGGAGGACTGGGCAGCAAAATGAAAATAGAGTATACTATGGTGCACAAAAATGAACTGCATGCAGTTACACAGTTCACAGGGATGGCATTGATTAATTTAGTCTCATTAAGCAACAAGAAAATAGAAGCTAACAAATTGTTGAGTAGAGCTACTAATTTAGAATAATTGTGTGCATTAATTGAACAAAAAAGCAGCAGAGAGAGGCTTACATGGATTGTGTGTGTCAGTTAATTTTTCATTGCTTGTGACCAAAATACCTGACCAGAATAACTTAGAAGAGGAAAAATTTGTTTGGGGCTCATGGTTTCAGAGGTTCAGCTCATGGTCCACTGATTCCTTGGCTCTGAGCCTGAGAAGAGGCAGAACATCATGGCAGAAGGGCATGGCAGAGAAAGTTGCTCAGTTCCTGGCCAAGAAGCAGAGAAAAAGAGAGGTAAAGGGACTGTAGGGGAGATGAAGCCTTCCAGGCCACGCCTTACCTGCTGACAGTTACCACCCAGTTAGTCTATTAATGGGTTGATTGGATGGACTGATTAGGTTACACTTCTCACAATCTAATCATTTTTGCCTCTTGCATTAGCATAGAGGATTTTGGGGGATACCCTGTATCCAAACCCAAACAGATAGTTTAAAGAAAATCTGAGCATGCAGTTCTAACAAGTGACTTTGCTTATTGCAGATCAAATGAAATGATCAAAACTAATCTAAAAGTGTCATGAAAAGCAATATTATTGCTTTTTTTTTTAAAAAAATTATGACATTATTAACATATAAAGATTGGTCTCCAGCCAAACTATAAAATGATTCATGACAATGAAACTTTAAAAATAAGAATTAGAATCAACTAGGAACTTGTCATATAATGTATGAGATGCAGAATACACATGAGAAGCCCAGAATTAATACTACCAAGAACTGTTCAAATGGCAATGAGATGCAAAGCAGAACCACATACCTCATTCATTCTGTCCTCCAAGCAAGGCCATGGGAAGGCAGATCTGCTGTTCAGACCCCTGTTTTGTAGGCTTAGAAAGTCTCATTGCTTTCAACCCTCATATGTCTCATAGCTTGGTTGTGGTGGGGATCTCAACAGGGGGTTGCTGTCCTGAAGCCAGGCATGGTGACTTCACTGTCTATTGACTATCCATAACCAGTGTGTTAGGTACAAACTCCACCATGTTGTAATAATATAAACTATTCAGTTGCTGGAATTTGTGTGCTTAAAATATTATTTTTCTAGTTTTGTGGACATCCGAATGTTCTTTGAACAAATTTCCAACATAGTACCTTGAAAGAAAATCCATTAAAAGAAAAATTTCTATTGCAAATTCATTGCATGTGAGTTTAGATTTTGTGTGTGTGTGTGTGTGTGTGTGTGTGTGTGTGTGTGTGTGTAGTGTTGGGGCTGGAACACAGGGCCTTTTGCATGCTAAGCAAGTGCTCTACCATTAAGCTACATGTCCATCTTCTAGTTAGGTTTTAATAAATCTTCCTATAATTTCACACAAAACTTACCTAATGAAGAAGAAAAAGTCTAGGGGATGGAGATGTACTGCACTTTTCTAGAAAGTTCAATGTCCTGGGTTCCACTCCAATCCTGCAAAAGAAGAAGGAGGAGGAGGAGGAGAGAGAAGAAGGAAGACCAGAAGGAAGAGGAGGAGGAGGTCAAAAGTCAAGAACATGTCTGTGGTTTCTTACCCACTTATTGTCTAGCAACATCTGTAAAGCCATTTGCTATTCTAAGTAATGAGCATAACAACCCCTGTGACCTGGAATTTCTTCTTTTTTTTTTTTTGGTAAACCTTAAACACAGACATCACAACACAATATAACCAAAGATGAGAGTTTGGGAGGCTATTGCTTATCTTTGCTTCATCTCAAATTTATCTTAAGTTCCAGATGCAGATTACATCTTTTCCATTTAACATGACAGTCTTGAACATAGAGATGGTGTTGCCAACCCCATGGTCTAATGGAACATCGGATTGCTTGCTGACAAAAAATTGTGAGTAGGTTTGTAAGAACCGCTCAACAGGGTAGCAAATACCATATTGACTTTTTGTGTACAAGGCTCCAGTTTCTGATTTCTTGAGTGCCCAGGGAAGGTTATTGCCATTGGAAATGAAAGTTTGATTGATTAGAACAGAGATGTGCCTTTTAAAAGATTGAATTGCTGGCCTTAAAGGACCAAATTCAACTCTCAAGAGGGAGGCTGCCCTTCTAATTTTATTTTCTCCCTAGGCAGTTGTGACTCTTTTCTCATGGCTTGAAATAACATATTGTGGAAGATCACAGTGTGTGAATAGAATTGTGTGAACTCTCCCTCAGGCCTAGGTCTAACAATTATCATCTATTAGCAGAAAGGGATAAACTAAGAAGTTCCACAAACTACAAGCAAAGTAAAAAATGTTTTCTCTCCTCAAATGACATCCGCAGGGGTGTACATTTATGGGGGAAAGGTTTAAAATTGAAGAGTGCTTAGTAAAAGATTTCCAGGCTGGGCGGGTGGCCCCCTGAATGCACTAGTACAGTTTGGATGTGAAGTGTCCCATAAAAGCTCTTGTGTTAATAAAAGAGTATTCAGAGGCAAAATGATTGCTAGAATCATTACAGCTACCCCCAGCTGTAACCTAATCAGTCCTTCTTAGTCTGTATGGACTGGGTGGTAATGTTAGGCAGGTGGGGTAGGGCTAGAGGAAGTGGGTCTCTAAACATGTGTCCTGGAAGAGTGCATCTTCTCTGTAGTCCCTTTCCCTACTCCTCTCTATGCTTTTAAGCCCCACCATGAGATGAACAGCTTGCCTCCCCTGGACCCTTCTCCTATGATGTTCTGCTTCCCCTTGGGCCTAGAGCAATGGAGTTGGCCATCTATGGACTGAAACTTCTGATACTGGAAACCAGAATAAACCCTTTCTCCTCTGAGTTTCTCTGATTGGGTATTTTTGTCACAGCTACGCAAAGCTGACGATGCCACACACCAAACCACTAACCAGAAATGTCACTTCAGTGTCCTGTCTGATTGGCATGTACCACAAATGTTGGATATTCTCTTGAAGCAGGCTTTAGGCTGCTAAACTGAAGCACTTCTTTTTCGTGTGTCTATTCTCTGTGTCCCTGTCCCTTCTAAGTCAAGATCTAAGTGGCTTAAAACCAAATGGGAACCTCATCTCACTCAAAAGAAAACTGGATACTCTGAGATGTTCTAGCCAGTAATTATTTTGACTCAAATTTCTTTCTCAATCAATTATAAACTAGGACTTGCCTAACAAGATGAACCACTTGGTAAGACTGCTTTTGTTTAAAAAAATTATTTAATGTATATGGTTTTGACTAGATAAAATATGCACATGAACAGAATTCAGGAAGTGTAGAAAGTCTATAGTGAAAAGTTTCTCTCCTGCATCCCCCAAGGATCCAGCCTCCCTCTTAGAGGACATCTGCTTTTACCTATTTCTTTGTCTCTGCAGACAGTCTATGCCTATGCCCCCACCATGTGACACAGACACATATGTTATAGGTCCACCTGACTGTCATTAAATTCTTGTAAATCATACAAATAATTCTATACCTTATTTTTTAATCTAACAGTATTATCTTGAAGCTGCCTCAAGATTATACTGGGTATTGAACTCAGAAATGTTTTCTTTTCTTTTTTTTTTTAACCACTGAGCTACACCCCCAACCCTTTTTATTTTTCATTTTAAGGCAGAGTCTTGCTAATTTGCCTAGGGACTCACTAAATTGCCAAGGTTGGCCTCAAACTTATGATCCTCCTGCTTCAAGCCTTCCAAGTTTCTGGGATTACAGGTGAGTACCACTGCTTCTGGCTTGCTTCATTCTTTTTAACTACTATGTATTATTCTGTTTTATGGATGTGCCCTAATTGATGCAGTCAGTCTCTTACTGATGGACTTTCAAATTGTTCACAGTATTTTGATAATGCAAACAACTCTGCATCTTTTAATAATTTCACATGTCTGTGAATATATTTATAGTTTAACTTTCTATAAGTGGATATGACATCTTGTTTTTAATTTTAATTAATGATATGCTATCTGAATTTATTGATGCTTTTATTTATTTCACTATGTGGTCTGTATTTTCTTTTTTTCTGTTGATGTGAAAAATCTTATGACGATGAACATCACTGGAGATTCATTTTTACAAGTAATATAATTTATGTAATACCTCTATTTCTTTGGTCATCATTCTTTGACTCCTTATTATAATCAATGTGAAAATTAGTAATTTCTCTTTATGCCCCCCAGCCTTCCTTCAACTACCTGATCTTATTTGAGTTTCAGTATTTTCTTAGTGTTTATATTTAAATAAATTAATTGATTTATCGTTACTAATGCATGGCTATAAAAGATAAAGAAGTATCTAACAGTGCCTTCCTCTTAAAAACTTCCTTTCCTCTGAATTTTGTTATTTATGTAATGTTTCTGTTAGGAAATCTTTCTTTCACTTTCATGCCCAGTAGTTATGTCTTGGGGTTGCTATTTGGCAGAATGCTCTTCCTAGAATAAGATGTGCCACTTAAAATTTAAATTCAAGTCTTCAATTGATTTTGGATCTCAACAATACACCACGTCTATTTATCATTTTTCTCTAATCCTTTGCAACTCTTGTTTTCACTTTCTCACTCTGTGGTCCTGTCCATAGATATGTGTCCCACAGAGTCTGTTTTCCTTTGGGCTGCTTCCTAAGTCACCTTCAGATTTCTCCCATCATTTCACTCACTCTTCCCTTATAACCTCACTTTCAACTCTTGTGTTATAAGTCAGCAGCTTCATCTCCTTTGTGAGTTCATGGTGACATACATGGTCCCAGTTTTTATCTGGTCTGTGGCATCACTTTTGGATGATACTTTTTATCATCTTATTCCCCTTTTCGCCCCATATTTCTTTCGCCTTGTCTTTTGTAGTGTCTTTGTTTAACTCCATGGTCATTGCATCTGGCTATCACTCATCTTCGTTTGGGTGGGCTTCCTGGTCCAGTATTGCAGGTAATGAATGTTGCCACAGTCTGGCTGGGCACAAATGCCACAGTCTGGCTGGGCACACAATCACGAGCCACCACACAGCTTGTAGATTCAAACAGCAACTCTTTATTCCCGAACTCACACCAGCCGTCTACAAACACGTTCTGGGGAAATCCACGTTCTCTGCCCAAATCCACGTTCTCTGCCCAAATCCACCTCCACTGGGCTTCTATCTCCAAAATATACTGTCTGAATCCCGTGAGAACTCAAGGGGAACTCAGGCAGCAGGATACGCCCTATTCCCAGGAGGAATAATCTTAAACCTTAAACCTGGAACCTAAACTGGGAACGCCCTAAACACGATTATCTTAAAACCGGGAACACCCTAATCTGCCTTGGTCCTTGAGCAAGGTCACCTACATTCAATGTCGCTGCAACATGTCAGCAACATGGGGTACGCTGGCAAGGAAATTGTCATACCTACTTGGCTAATGGCTCCCAGCAGAATGTGAGGCAGGAGTCAAAGCCATCTAATTCATTGTGAATTTCCTCTTAACAGAATCCCACATATGAATGAGCGCCTTTTCTCTTTTCCTCATTGCCTAGAAGAGATTGGCAGCTGCATTGCTATTGGCCATGCAGAGTCCCTGGCCTTTACTCTCCCTCAAGTATGGATGGGATAAAGGTGATTCAGCTTTGCCTGTCACGTTTCTGGAGGAAATAGGAAATGGGACAATTATATCTTTATTCTGTCATTTAAATATTGAAAGTCAAAAGGTTTGATCACATGAATAAAAGACCAATGGTCCTGAGGCAAAATGAACCACCCCTGTCACTGACTAGCTATGCAACTTTGGGCGAGTCTTTTAACCTTTCAGACTATACTTTGTTATCTGAGAGAATAATAAAGGCAGTGTAGCCTGACTTGGGAGATTATTCATGGTATTATTATGGGGAATAATGGCAAAATATTGTGAAAGTACATTAACACATGTATTAACTTGTGTTGTTGTAATAAACAACTTCAAGATCTCCCACATAAATGTGAGAAAATTAAAATTATTATTAATACTAATTTTTAAAAATTCATCAACTTAATTTTTTTTTTATACTGGGATTTAACCCAGAGGTGTTTTCTCACTGAGCTACATCCCTAGCCCTTGTTATTTTTTATTTTGAGTCAGGGTCCTCCCTAAGTTGCTTAGGGCCTTGCTAAGTTGCTGAGGCTGGCCTTGAACTTGTGCTCCTTCTGACTTAGCCTCCCCAGCTGTTGGGACTACAGGCATGCATCACTATGCCTATCTCCAAAATCCATCAATTTGTAATGCCTATTAGTGTTGGTTTAAAACTTTATAACTCTCAGCATGAAGAAGTTTATGACAGAATTTAACTTTTTCCTTCCTTCCTTCCTTCCTTCCTTCCTTCCTTCCTTCCTTCCTTCCTTCCTTCCTTCCTTCCTTCCTCCCTCCCTCCCTCCCTCCCTTTCTTATACTGGGGATTGAAACTAGGGCCCTCATGCATGTATGCTAAGCAAGCACTTCATCACTTAGCTATATCCGCAGCCCTCCAATAGGACATTTCAAATCTTAAAAAGTTGGGGCTGGGGATGTGGCTCAAGCAGTAGCACGCTTGCCTGGCATGTGCGGGGCGCTGGGTTCAATCCTCAGCACCACATAAAAATAAAATAAAGATGTTGTGTCCACCCAAAACTAAAAAATAAATATTAAAAAATTCTCTCTCTCTCTTAAAAAAAAATCTTAAAAAGCATCTGCCCTTCCAAGAAGTTATATTCAGTTTTACAGAGGCCTAAAAAACCTACCCCTCACAGTTTTTATTATTCATTTTTATCACCCTTTCTTCCTTATTTCTTCAGCTCTAAAATATACTCTCCATTATTTGAAGGAACCTTTTAAATTTAAAAAATAACTTATCTTAGAATATAAATTCTAAGCAATATCTCAAACTCAGCCTGAGGGAACATGCTAAAAAGGCCTCCATGTGCTTGCTCTAATTTGGAGTTCTCAAAGAATACCTTCATTAGGACTTAAACTTGATTCAGTTTTACTTTGTATCTGCGGCCAAAAACACTAATGAAGAATTTCCTAGCACCCTCTCACTCTAGAAAATGAGTTTTTTCTAATTTTTAAAGAGCAAGAATATTGGGCAAAAAATATTATTTTTTTGAGAGAGAGAGAGAATTTTTAATATTTATTTTTCAGTTTTCGGTGGACACAACATCTTTATTTTATTTTTATGTGGTGCTGAGGATTGAACCCAGCGCCCCACACATGCCAGGTGAGTGCGTTACCGCTTGACCCACATCCCCAGCCCCCAGTTGTTTTTAAACTATCCTTTAGTCCATGCTTCCTTGATCTGGGTATTTCAAATATCAAAAAAAAAAATATGTCCCTAAAAATGTACAAGATGTCTCACTGGGATTTATGAGGATTGGAGAAAAGTAATGGGGACAATAGTGATGAAGTCAATATCAGAATTTAACATTTCTTTGAATTAGGATGTGCTAGGCATTGTATTAAGCATGAATTACTGCATGCAATCCTCCTCCCATGTATTAACTTGTGTTGTTGTAATAAACAACTTCAAAATCTCTGTGGAGTAAAACCACAAATAATAATTTGAGACTTTATTAGGGCTGAGGGTCAGCTGTAGCTCTGCTGTGCTGGAATAGGCTTTGGAAACCAGGTTAAAGCTACACTCTGGGGCAATGAAAGGGCTGGTAGAAACTTGTAATGCCTCTGAAATCTTCTGATTTCATAATAGACATCCTATCCATTTTTGTCCCATTAGCCAAAGAAAGTCCAAAGCCAAGTCCAAAGCCAATGGGGTGAAGAAGTACACTCCTCTACCATGAAGATTGGCAGAGGCAGAGAGAGGACAAATACTTGTGAATAAAGAAGGCAATCTGCCCCCATTTCCTCTTATTGGGGAGAGATATTTTCACCTCTCCCCTCAAGATGATCAAACTACCAGGCACTGAGCTTTGAAATAATGCCTGATTGCTGTTCTTATTGATTCAGAGATGTTCCCCCCAAACACCTGACATAGTCCAATGGTGGAGTGGGGACACCTTATTGAAAAACAGGAAGAATGGGAGGCACCTGCCAGTCATTGGCTTATAGCAATTCTTATATTCCATAGAGCAAATCACATAAGCTCTCACCCTGATGGATTCATCCCAGTTACATTTTCTGGGACTAACTTCTCTATTCAATAGCTCCTCCATTCATTATCCTTTTTTCTGAAGCTGGGTTTGGCAAATTTTCTATTTGTGGCTATCTTGGATTGCTTCACAACTGTAGAAGATTGGGGACTGTAGAAGATTTTATGACTTTAATAATTATAGTCTCTTCTAATCCAGGTTGGTGGTGCTTTTAGCTGTACATGTCCCTATATAACTGTTTTTGTTTTTAATCAATTTGAGTCCAGTCATCTCCATATAAGTCAATATCCACACCATAGCTTTTTGAGAAATACCTCCATTTGTAGATTTTATTGTAAGTACTTTGATCTTATTGTACTTCAGACAGAATATTCTCTTAGTCTCTTCTGCTTGAGCCCTTTTGTCTAACTGGAATAATTTTCTGAGGGTCATACTAGTATAATCAGAAGGCTTAACAATGGGTCTATTTGGATCTGAGACCAATCTCATGATTCCTAGCTGCTAGAGATGAGAAATAGTTTTTATTTTCAACTCTAAAATGCCTTGAATTTCTGGGACATTAATGTAGCTCTACTGGACTTATCTTGGCTCTGAGATCACGAGGGCTGATGGAAGTGTGCAGAGCCTCTACAAACCTTTGCTCAGATGAGGCAGATAGCTCCTCCACTCACACCCCATCTTGACAAGTCACATGGCCAAGCTCAAATCAGTGAATTTATTAGGGAAAGCTGGAAAAGAGGGGAAGGAAATGAATAGTTATGAACAAATAATATATAAGTTCCATACCTCTCGAGCTAGATACGTTATAACTCTCTGAATCTAGAAGGAAACTGAGGCAGAGAGAGGTGGAGTACCTTGTCCACAGTCCTACAGCTCCTTCGTGTGCAGCTAGGATTTTATTCTAAGGAGTCTGACTCCATGACGATGAATTATTTCTCAGATTCCTTCCCTAGAGTTCTTATTTTTATGAAATTGTCCATGACCTTTTGTCTAAAGTATCAATAGCCATTAATGAAAACAATTTTAGGAGAGGACTCAAATATGGCAACATTAAAGCTTTGTAAAATGATGTTATGTCTTCAAGAAAGAATTCACTAAATCAATGCCAGTTGTAACCTGCGAGATCATAAAGCTCAATGCAGGAACATTGGAAGCATGAAGGTGATTGAGTCACGGTGGGTTCAGTAATTGGTTCCCTTCACAGGACTTCTCAACTTCCTCTGAATTACTATGCTGTAATTTACCCAGAACCTGAGAATATAAAAGCCTAAGTTGTCATATTGTGAAAGGCGTTCAAATTCCTGAATCTTACACCCAAATAAGGAAATCTTTCAGGATTTGTCTTGAAAGTTTTCTCATTATCAGCCTAAGACTCTGGATTCACAAGGAGCCCAGCTCATTAAATACCATAGTCAGGACAACAGCTATTAAAGCCACATGTTCACACCTCCATCACAGGAAAGTGATGAAATTCCAGATGAGGTCTCCTCCTCCTCCTTGACATTTTATTCTTTTCCTACACTATGTCTTCAGAAGTAGGTCTGATTTGCCAGGAAGAAGAATTTCCTGAAAATTGCTCGTCTCCAGAAAGACACAGAACTTAGACTTAGAACTTAATTGCAGCTCTCAGATTAAATGAAGCTAAAGTAAGTCAAGAATAGCATTGAGAAAAGAACCTTATAAACGCAGCTGACACTCTGAATGACTTATACAGAAAAGAAGTGACAGAATCATTGCATAAGACTCTGATCTTCTGATGGCCCTTCCCTCTAGGACTAATCCAGACTCCAACACAATAGTGTGTTCAATCCAACATCAGTCTTGATTATAAGTATACTAAATGTGCTTACTTTCTAGATGTTCTTGCCTTAGGATACTGAAAATTTGGAGGAAATTCCTAAAGACATCTATGGGGATACCATCAATTATGGTTTAGCTGTTAAGTGTCCCCCAAAAGCTCATGTGTGAGACAATGCAAGAAGATTGAGAGGTGAAATGATTGGGTTATGAGAGCCTTAACTTAATCAGTGAATTAATACCCTGACAGGGATTAACTGAAGGGTAACTGTAAACTGGTAACTGTAACTGAATGGTAACTGTGGATGGAGGAGATGAGTCATTGGGGCATACCTTTGGGTTATATATTTAGTAAGCTGAGTTTATTCTTTCTCCGCTTCCTAAGTGCAATGCCCTGAGCCACTTTCTTCCACCACACTCTTCTGCCATGATGCTCTGCCACACCTCAAGTCCCAAGGAATAGAGCCTGCTATCTATAGACTGAGAATTCTGAAACCAAATAAATTTTTCCTCCTCTAAAATTGTTTTTTAGTCACAGCAGCAAAAAAAAAAAAAAAAAGACCATCTGCTTTTGGTGGGAGTAGGAACTGAGAATTCTATGACCCTCAGGACCTCTGTCTAGACATCTGGTTTCAGGGAGCTGGTTCTGTACTCCCTAAATCAGGGCTGGAAGAATGAGAGATCCACAGAATATCTACTGCCAATGAGTGAGGGAGAGTCTGGTGGCATGGCTCATGCACTGGGAATTTTTCCAGAGAAAAGTGAGGAGGTCCCAGTGATATTTGACCATAAATTGGTGTACGCTTTCTGTGTAAGCAGCAACCTTTCCTAAGAATTTCCTCACCCTAACGAGTTGATAGGCTAACTACCACACTGGACAATTTCCAGTTCTTAGCTTAAGATATAGAAAGTTTACTTCTCATTCAGGTCATAATCTGATTGGATATTTCGTAGATGGCCTCCCATGCAGTGATTCTGAGACCCACGATCTTTCCATCTAGGGGCTCTGCCAGCTTTTGGAACTTCAGGGTTCTTCACTGGAGGATTCTGAAAGTGGTGTCCCTTGGATTACTCACATTTAATTGTCAATCACAAAACTCCATTTATAACTGTGTTATGGTGTGGATCTTTAATATCCCCTGAAAAGTTCAGATGTTAGGCAATGTAGAGATGTCAGAGTTGAAATGATTAGATTATAAGAGCTATAACCTCATCAGCTGATTAATCTATTGATGGATTAATAATTTAAATGGAATTCTGGGTGGAAACTATAGGCAGGTGGTATGTGACTGGAGGAAATAGGTCACTGGGGATGTGCCCTTGAGGATTATATCTTATCCATGGTTCCTTGCTTTCTGTCTTTGCTTCCTGAATGCCATAACTTGAGCAGTTTACCTCTGATATGCCTTTCTGCCATGAGAATCTGCCTCTCCTCTGGCCCAGACCAATGGAGTGGGCCAACCATGGACTGAGACCTCTGAAACTGTGAGCCCCCAAATATACTTTTTCTCCTCTCAGCTGTTCTTATCTGGTATTTTGGTCACAGTGAAGAAAACATGACTAATACAAACTACAAGTTATGCAATATAGTCTTCCCGAGTCTTCAAAGGGAAAATGAATGGGCTTAAAGAACACACTAGGAAGACCTTAAGACCTCTGGGTGCAAAAACCCCTCTAGGTGAGAAGCTAGGGATGTGCTGATACTGAGAACACAGCTGTTAAGTCAAGTGGTTTCTCTGCTTTTAGCAAAAGAAATTTGAAGTCCTTGGTATCTGGTACAGAACTCTTCACAATCCAGCCCCAATCTCCCTTCCCAGTTCCCCCTCTTGCTGCTCATTACTCAGCTTGCCTTCCCTGCCCCATGCACTTCACACTCTGGTCAACTTGAACTGCTGGCTATTCTTGGAATGTGTCACATATGTTCACACCTTTGGGCCTTTGTAAATGTTGTTTCCTGTCTGAAACACCCACAATTTCCATCCACCACAGGAGCCAGCTCAGAAAGCTGTTTTCTAAAAGTAAAGCTTTGCCTGGACTTCCTCCCCCAGGCAGAACTCATTACTGCCTCCTTCACGATCCCACGACATTCTCCATGCAATGCTATCATAACTTTCTGTGTTGAATCTTTTTTATTTGCTTTCCTAGATGTTTCTCCCCCATGCTGTAAAATGTTGGAGGAAACAATTAAGAACCAAGTCAAGAATCAGCCAGATTCTTGAAAATATAGTAAAAAACCTGAGTTTTCTTTATGACAAGTTGAAAGCTACTTCGAAATATGTTCTAGATGCAACATTCATCCCTGGAGAAATATAAAACCTAAAACTAAAACAACTTTCGTGAGGTCAAGAGAGTTGTGATACTGTGTGCTCTGCCACCTCCCTCCACAGTCCTAGTTCAGATATACGGGAAAAGGTAAAATTGATTTCAGTAGGATCTGTGATGAAATACAGTCCCCACACATTTACATGGAGAAAGCCCTAAGCTTTGGAGAGATGCAGGGAAGAAATAAACTTCCATTAACATTTCATTACCTGGCCTAGACCAAGAGCCACCTTCCATAGAGAATGCTCAAAGCTCTGAGCTAAAGCTTACTTTGAATTCTTCTTTCCCAATAAATGAGCCTGAATTTCCACCTTTCCAAAGTCAACCCAGACAGCTACAGTTCAAAAGAAAATTTTTCCATTACCATAATGGATTGCAATAAAAAACATCAGCTCAGCCTCTTCCTCATCATCTCGGCATTTATGGCTCTAAGCTTCGTAACTCTCAGAGTGAAATGAATTCACCTTTTATTCAGAGTTTTTAATTTTCTGCACTTCTCATTTCACATGTTTGTGCTTATGCAAGCTCACAATCTCTCTGGTTCCCTCTCTCCTGGCTCTGATTTCCCCAATGCCTCAGGCCAGACCTTCTAAGACAAACTTTCCTAGCAGTCAATGCCATGGTGATTGCTCCCAGGACTGTTAAAAATAGACCCTGTTCCGCTGCTCTAACCCTTAAAGAATAAGAGATGAGATCATTTTCTGCTTGGAGAGTGGATCCAGACAGTGAGTGATTGGCATCAGTGCATTGACTGCAACAGGAACAGGTGTTAAAGTGACTTCTCCCATCCTATTAAATATCCTTTTCATACATTGATTCACAGACTTGTTTCCATTCTCATGACTGAATGGGCAACCCTGTAATTTGTCGGCTACATCCATTTTTTTCCACCTCCTGGCAACAGTTTCGCTTCAGTTTCTGCCAAGATTCCCTATTGTCTCCATAAGTTTCTGCCCAAGGTGAGTGATAGAAGGATGCTCTTATGAAATTAAACAGCAAAAAGCACCAGGCATGTAATTTAACAGGACTAGCAGGCAGTGACACCAATCTGTACTTTTACTTGAATTTTGGTAATGGGGATTTTTCCCAATGCTTTTCAAGTGCTTTCTGACAATAGCTTAAAGTTACTACAACTTAAAGTTTCAGAAATGACCCTAGGACAAAATCCAGGGTGGGTCTGGGAGATGCATCAGAAGAGATCCTAAAACGAGGGTACTGCATGCTAGAAATAAGCAAAGAATTAATTAATTTCCTTTCACATCTTTTTGCTATTGTGTTATATATTTAGAATAAAAGGTGTGGTGACCACAAAAGTCATTCACACCTGGGTAAGTTCTCTGCTTGCAAACATCCTGCTAGGAACATCAGGATAAGAAGACTCTTTAGCTTTAAGCCCCCACACTGGGCAAAAGAGGACAGCACTGAGATTGAAAAAATTGTTTATTTTAGAGAGACCTGGATCCAAATTTCAGGTTTAACAGTGAACATCTCTCTGACTTTGAACAAATTATTTAACTTATTGAGTTCTTATTTTTTTCATCAGCAGAGTGAGGAAATTGAATTAGATAATCTTCAAGGTCACAGCTAGTTCTCGTCTTCTGTGCTTGTCTTTTTCTAGTCCGTATGTCACATCATCTGGAAAATCAATTCTGCGGCGTTACTCTCCCCAACTATGACACTGGAAAATGGCAACAACCATGAAACGGATCCCTCCTTGGTTTGTCTTAATATTTTCAATTTTGAAATCCGTGCGAATATGTGTGTGCCTTTGTGTGGGATATGTGTTTGTGCAAGGTGTTAAATTTGATTAAAATAAACCTTAAAATCGGATGTAGGTGTAGCTCTGTGGCTGAGTGCTTGCCCAGTAAGTGGGACATCCTGCATTTGATCCCCAGGATGCATGCACATGTACACACACACACACACACACACACACACACAACCCCAAACCACTATACAAAGTATCAAAGTCAAGCTATTGTGTTTGGAAGAACAAACATCCAGGATCCATCTGAAAACAACATAGCACTTTTCTTTCTCTCCTTTTTTTCCCCTCTGCCCCTCCCCTTCTCATATCTCACTTTCAGAATCTATTCTTGTATTTTGTTTTCAGACCCCTCCAGACTAGGGCACCTGGGTCTTCTCAGGGAAGGTTAGGGAGAGGGGCAAGTTTGCCTGGCTGGAAGCAATGCTCACCTGAAGCAAGGGCAGCTAGTGATGACACTCAAATGGACAAAGCAGTTTTAAGTTTGAGGCTGCCAGACTTAGAAGTTATTCTGAGGAAGATTCTTCAGTGCTGCCTCCTCCTTCCAGGTTTTGGAAGCATTTTGGTGTTTGCAGTATAAATTTCAACATGTAAAATTGTTTTATTTCTAAACAATACTTTTGCAAATTTTAGTCTTTTTCTTTTTAAATACTAGAGATTGAACCCAGGGACTCATGCCTTCAGCCCTTTTTATTTTATTTTATTTTGAGACAAGGTCTCACTATGTTGCCCAGACTGGCCTCAATCCTCCTGCCTCAGCCTCCTGAGTAGCTAGGATTACAGGCCCGTGCAATCACATCCAATAACTGGTTTGTACTTAGATTGCTAGAAATTCCTTATATTCAAATTTCAAGTAATAGACATTGTTTTTATTTAGTTCTATTTTATAACAAAGTGACAACAGAAAAACCATTTTTAGAATAGGAATCTAAAAAATTTCATGATACAGGTTCAATCTAATGTTCTGTATTACCTTGATTTATACTACTGGCCCACAGTGGTTAGTCTACTAGGTCTTCTAACTGATTTTTTTTTTTTTTGTATGTGTGTGTGTCTAGCAGAGTGCTAGGTGTCGTGGTGCATGAAGGGATATGAGGTAGAGATCCAGCTTGCAGCTAAACTGAGCTTGCACTGGAAATGAGGTGTGGCTGGGAATGAAGGTGTCTACTGGCTGGAGGTCCTGAGGACTCCAGGAAGCAAACACAGTCCAAACAAAGATGCAACCTGATCTGCAGAGCTGACCCAGAGATACATCCTCACTTACAAGTCAGATGGGGAGATTTTGAATCTGTCATTCTTGATTTTTTTTTTTTGGTTGCCATCCAATGAAGTCATATCCTGCAAAAAATGTTTTCCTAAGAGAACACATAAAATATTGAAGGCACAAGGAACAGAACTCAGGGGCCTAATCCAGTGAGAATGACCGGTAGGAATGACAAGCATCAGGGTAAGAAGCAAGTGTGCTCAGCAGATGTGATGGAGGTGACAGGGCTGGCTGGCCTTATTGGTAGCTGTGCTTGGGGAAATGCTTAGTGGAGGCAGCCTGGGGACATGTAGTGGAGGCCATCTTTGCCAGGGATTATGGTGTTAGCAGTGGCTGAGTACTACAAAAAATATTAATGTATGCTGGAGACACAACCTGAAGACCCCCAGAAATATTTAGGGCTGGGGTTACTGAATGTAAGGTGCAGGTGAAGACAAGAAGCACCCAAAAGATATGATTTTAGTTTGTTCTCCTGGAGTTTGTAATTTAGTTGGAAAAGCAAGACCTTCATTCATACCCGAAAAGCTAGGACTGATAAAATAGAGAATGTGAGGGCTGGGGTTGTGGCTTGGTGGTAGAGTGCTCGCCTAGCATGTGCGAGGACTTGGGTTTGATCCTCAGGACCACATAAAAATAAATAAATAAAATAAAAGCATTGTGGCCAACTGCAACTAAAAAATTAATATTAAAAAATACAGGATGTGAGTAAGTGCTAGACTGTTCTTGAGATTATATTCAGTCCAATCACACCTTCTTTGAGAAGGTGGTAGAATTTGCTATGACCTTAAAGTGAGTGGGATTTGGGTGGGTAGTAATCCTTCCAATAGTGGTAAGAACTGAAGGCCAGCAATAAAACTTTTTTTTTTTACAAGCACATGAGTTTTTGCTGTATGCCATAGACTATCTTAGGAATTTTCTGTCATGTGTGGATAATCCTCAGAACAACTTGTAAGAAGCTTTTATTTTTACCATTGGACAGAGGTGGAAGTTGGAGATTCAGATTAGGGGATCTGCCTGAGCTCATATAGTGAGTGAAGGGGGAGCTGACTGAAGGGTAGATGGCAGATAGTTCTCCTTCTTGACAAGAGCAAGAAAAACGAAAAACAGGGATAAGGATATGACACAACATGTAGAAAACCTTCAAAGCCATGCCAAGAGGTTTGTATGCAGTTTTGTAGGTGAGGGGAAGTGACTAAAGATGTTTTCAGAAGACTAGTATTTATTGTGGTTGGGCAAATTCATCAGGAAGTAAGACAGGAAGAACACGAAAATAAAGGCAATCTAGCCAGAGGGTAAAATGAGTAATCCAGGCCTATGGAATAAAGAGGAATGACTTGAACATTTGAAAGAAAGAAAGAATGGGTCTCAGTGATGTGGCTTTCTATGTGGGGGACCAGATTCTGGCAAAGGTGGGCTGAGCTCTAATCCAAGCCATCAACAGCAGCTAGAGATTCCCAAGTCCACCAAACTGGAAATGAAAGTCAAGCTCAAAAATGGCAAGCGGACACTGGGCAGGATCAGATGGGCTGGTGCTAAAGCTCTCTGTGTGATCCCAGAGTCTTCTTTAAGTCCAGTCAGGGTGTCAGAAGAACAGGACACTCTTGTAAACTGGAACCAGAGCCCTAAGATGTCTAGGGATGACAGAACAGAAACTAGGTCAGGGATTTCATTTGTCCCTTCTCTAGACAAGGAGACCAAGGGAAGCAATCAGCAGCTAAACCACTTAGAATTATAGTTTTAACTATAATTTAGTGGAGTCTCAGTCTTTAAATGTGGTTAGGTCTCATTTCACGTATGTGGCACCCCTGAGTTGTAACAGTAAATGAACTACAGTATCCCAATTCTCATCATCCTGGAGAGTGCACGTGTTTAAAATTGTCTAATGTTAAAATGCGTCATTAATTTATTTTCCAGTGTCTAGGTTGGAATATAACTATGTGATATATATCAAATGAATTTCATGGCTACAGTCCAAATGTAACAAATGAATCATTTAAGACTATCCGCATATTGGTGATGCCAAATTTTTCATTTTCTTCCATTTTATAAATGCATCATATCTCGGCTCAAAATCAATCTATTAACCTTGAAAACATTTGGAGCTGGAATGAAGGTTCACAGTGAACTTTGCGACCTTCCACGTGATATTAGTCATATTTAGCAATTATTATTGGCTTTGAGTAATGAGGAACCATTTGAGACAGGAACAGCCACGCGGCACTTACCAATCAAGGAAACTTCAGAGACCACAGGGAAAATGAAGAGCATGCAAAATCAGGATTTTTAAACCTTGAGCCAGTCTGCCACAAAGCTCTTGTCTTTTTAAAATAGATTCAAACATCTTGGCAGCTATGCTGATAAATTGCACATAAAATACTCTAGTAAAATCTTTGTGTTATGAGATAAGGAATTCTGTTTAGTGGATTTGAAGGGCAAATCTGTGTGTGCCCTCTAAACCTCCAGTGGGGTGAGCCTGATGGATTTCCCAGGTGCCAGACAGTTCACTGCCCCACAAGATGGGAGGAACGACGAGGGTAGAAGCTTAGCAACATTATATTTTAAATTAAAGTTCAAGTAAATGTCTCAACTAAAATTGCCTTAGGAATTACATACATATATTATCCTCTGGGTGAATTTTATATTATATCAATTTTAACACAATATAAAACATAATGTAGATGATTTTGGATTCATGACATGAAAGAATGGTTAATGGTTTGTCCATATGGGTTGTATGAAAATACTTCTCTTAAATTTTTCAGTCATGTTTTATGTATATTTTTCTTCTAAACCCACTAACAGTATGAAACTTGCTACCATAAGTGGAATATTTGTTCTCAATTATTTGTTGTGACCTTCCACATGATGATAGTCATATTTAGCCAGCCTTACTGTAAAAGAGCCTAATGTGATGGAATTTCAAAGTATTTCCAGTTATATTATTTTTTTATTTTTAAAATATTTCATACATGCAAGATCTATTTCATCTGCTGTCTTTCCCCCACCCTCTCTCTCTAATTTTATATTATCCACAGAAGAAACACTAGATCTATCTCTAATGTCAAATGAAAAATATCTTATATTTCCAGATTTAACTGAATGTTTTAAAAAGTTAATTTCCTAGACTTAGCTTAGGCTAACTTAAATAAGTACATTAACTTACATGTTCATTGTATTTAAACCCAGGGATGCTTTACCATTGAGCTACATCCCCATTTATTTTAATTTTATTTATTTTTTATCTTGAGATAGGGATTTACTAAATTGCTAAGGTTGGCCTCCTGCTTCAGTCTCTTTAGTTGTTAGGATTAGAGGCCTGTACTACCATGCCCAGAAATTTTACATTAATTTAAAAATTATGGTTGAGGATGAAGCTCAGTGGTAGAGCACTTGCTTAGCATGCACAAGTTCCTGAAAAAGGGAAGTTAATTTAAAGATGATCAAACCACAATGGCAACTTGTGAAGTCTAGAAACTTAGGTCTAAAGATGAGCTATCTCTGTCAGAACAACGAAGGGATTACTTCAGTAATATATTCCATGATATATCCAGAGAAAGAAAGAAGTTAATAATGGCCTTCTGTCCCTGGAAATTCTTCCAAGTAATCTAGAATCCCAAAACATCATTCCTTTGAGTTGGGAGAGATTCTTGGAACCAGAAAATTTTCAACCAATTGTTTGAGAGAATTT